CTGTTTAATGAGTTCTAATCCCATGGTAGTTTTTATACTCTTAGTGCGATGTGCGGTGAGATGTACAATAGAAGAAACGGAAATCTAAAGTAAAGGACACAATTGAAAATAGATTATTGTATTCTGTTTATCAAATTAGACTAAAATTTAGAAAGCGAAAACATTATTGGCAAGGTTTTTTTTATTCCCAGTCTAGGTAAACGACAGTGATTTTCTGTTTAATAAATATTTCATTGTCTTTAAACTCTTTCCTAGATGATATGGCAGGTACCCTATGTTAAAAAATGAACTTAAAAACCTGCACCTTTATATGATAATTTTTCTCCCAATATCCAATAAATATTTTTCATTGGTGTTTGAGCTTCCTTAAAGTCTACATCGGGAATATGATATTTGTCTAACTCTTACTTTTTAACAATAAGTTTGAGTTGTATTCTCACATTTAGCTTTTTACTCTTGAGTAAAAAAAATCAAATTGGGAATCTATTGCTTATATTTTAGCTGAAATTAAGTTTATAACTTGTAGTTATATAATTTATATGAAGGGAAAGTTAAAGAACAAGGCCAGAAAAGATAAATGGATAACAGCGACTGCATATCTATTATCTAAATACCTATTTTCCTGCTATGTTGCAGACGTCATATCCTATAGAATAGAATAAAGAAATTAGTACATTTATTTCGTTGTTAAATTGAAAAGCATTTTGTTCCTCATCTTACAGTTTTCAGCAGCTTTCCAATGTTTTTAGTCCGGAGTCAACGATGGTTTAAATAAAATAATGTTTTGATACAAACAATCTTTGCAAATAGATTATAAATGAAATGACTATTTCCTTGCACTATTAAACTCTCCCAAAATTCAAATTCAATTCACTGATTAAAACATAGACTTAAGATCCTTTCACTTTCGAATTTTTTTCATATATTTTTTGAACTCTTTTAAATAAAAAGATTCATTTACTAAAGGAACATCAGAATGTTGGGATGTGTACATCCAATATTAGATTGAATCACACAAAAGTAGTAGGCCCTAACTGACACCATTAGACAGGATTTATTTTACGTCATGATCATATTCAGCCAATTGTTGAGCAGTGAACTCAAGTGGAACCCAAAGGATATACATTTAAGACCTTGCATTTGTTTATTTTTTGCAATCTACATTAAAGTAGGATATTACATAGAAGTCTGAAAATATGATTTATACACTTAAAATGTGTATATTTTGTAGCTTGAGTCGATTTTTAATTGCTCTCTCATTGCTGTCGGACCAAAATAATGGAAGCATGTCCAGAACTTTCGTGACTGATGGTGAATCTAAGGAATTAGACACTTTCCGTCACCTTCTTAACCAAGAAAGCCTTATAAGAATGAGTTTAGTGAATAATGTTCAGTCCCTGATGAAAGACATGTTGACATTGAAGGAATCCATGGGATTTAGAATCTCTCAGTTGGAGGCAGAGGTAGAGCATCTCAAAACAGAAAACCAACGACTTGATTCTGAGTTACAGAATACCAAGGCAAAGGAAGGAAACTTGTCTTCATTAGTTACCACTTTTCAGGCATCATTGTCGAATGTTTCAAGTCTCGTTAGTGGTAAGGGAATCGTGTAACATGGTATAAATTGCTGAGTTCATTCCTTGTGGAATCAACTGTTTTTAAAACTTTTAAAACTAATTACTTTTATTTATCCTAGAGAAATGTAGATGAGCATAGGAAAAATTAAAAGATGTTTTCTTAACCACAATGGACTAAGTTTTAGTGGCGTTAATATTGTACAAGATGTTTTTCTCCGTAATTTTGTTAGTTGTTTCGGTTTACTAGTATTTCAGATTGTATATTTCACAGCTGTATAAGAGCAGATATATAGAAAAAGATAAACTAAGTATGATGTACTTTTCCTTCACAAAAATCAAATTGCAGCATCTTTATCTATCACGCGGATTTTGTTGTTATGATTCAAACTCCAGAAAATTCACAATCATGTCAAGCAGTTCTGTTATATTTAACAACGGAACAAGATAAAGACTGTCCCACTGCATACACTGGCATAGTTTTCAGAAACAGATTGCTACTTTAAACAAAAAATTCTCTAAATGGAGAAAAAAAACAAATAAAGTAAATAAATATTAAAATTAAAAAATTAATTTTTTTAACTGCATATTATTTTAGGTTCGATCATCACAGAGAACATTTATTAGTAAATGTACTCGTATAAAATTTAACTAGTAGTACTTATAAACGCAGAATCCATTCATGTTTTGATGTTAGCCGTTCCTAAGGTTTTAAAAATCATCAGTTAACTTATTGAAAATGCTCATAAAATGTTACTGAATCACAAAGCAATGTGTATATACCGATATTTTTTTTTTTTTTTTTTATAAATAGTCATTATAATTAATCATTATATAAGGACATTTATTTAATCTCAAGAAAAGGTCTACTTTTAAAAAAATCTTTTTTTTTTTTTTTTTTTTTTTTTAGGTTTGTTTGATATTAAGATACATAAAATGAAAATTATTGCACGAAAAAAATTCTTTCAAGCTTTATTTGATACTTTTTGATTAATTTTTTATTTTAAGAGTTATTGTACCTGACTGAAGAGTTGACAGGACATCCTTAATTAAACATTAATTAAGCATTAAATTCTGATTTCCCAGTACAACCTTTGAAAAGGTAATGTGTTGATACAGTTATGTCCAAGTGAAAAGGTACAGGTATGCAAAGAATTACAAAGGAAATGTTGTTTGTGTAGAAAGCAACATTAATGTACAAGAAACGATATCAGAAAACTCTTTTTAGCTAATGTCCATGATCAATTTTGAATACAGTACTAAAATAATGAAGATACTTGTACATGGCTGTGATCTTCGTGTCGATTTTATCGATATTTTTATTGCATAGCCTCTTTTAAATTATAGAATCGTATAAATTTTTATCCAGTTTGTTATTCAGAAATACAAAAATTGCGAAAATGTTTTGTAAAATATAAACGATTTGCTACTGCCAAATATTTCTTGGACATTTTCCCTGAGTTTCGTGTGAGTCTGATCTCTTTTTAAAGCTTACATTAAGATCTCAAAATCTTAATAAATCTATTCCCATTATTTTGTGTTAAAATATTTTTATCGGGAAATGGACAGTGTAAAACCATTGTTTATTTGGGAATTAAGAAATAGATTAAAATAATAATTAGAGTAATGTGTCGAATGATTTCATGGTGTATGTTGTTTACAATGTTACATCTAACTCATTAACACTCATTAACTCTAATGGTGATAAAATATATATATCTCACAAATAATCTGCACTTACCTGATAATTTACGAGATAGATTTATATATTTCGAAAATTTATTCTTTTTCACATTTTAATTTCAGTGAACATCAGTAAAACATTAGAGGACATGATGGCGGAAGTGAACCAATCTCAGTATGACCAACTGCAGCTTTCTTCTACCGTGTCTTCTTTCGAGGTGTTCCGAATGAATTTGACGAAGAACATATTAGGTAATAGCTTAAAATAAACAAGAGAACAGTTAGAGGTGTTAACACTTGACGAGTTTGCACTTTGCGATCTGTATCTTCATAATCTCTATATTCTTTTTTAAATATTCAACTTCCAGTCTGCGAAAACAAAAAGCTGGTTTTAAGGTATTATGCATCAACTCCGTACGAAACAGTCCGGGCGGCTTAGACACGGCTCAGGCACGGATTCTGTTTCCAGAAACCCGTGCTTATAGCATTCCTGCTCGTATGTAAAATATGTATGGAATACCTTGCCTTAATGTGGTCGAGGCACGGACACGGCACGGGATATTGGCCGAATTATTTAAATGAGATCACACGGTTTTACAAAATCCGTGTCAGAAAGCCGTGCTTGTTTCCTTATATGGACTCACGGATTCTGTAAACCCGTGTCTGAAAGCCGTGTCATTTTCCATATATGGAGACACGGATTTTTGGAAACTCGTGTCAAAAATGCCGTGTGATATACCATATATGGTGTCACGGCATCTGTGCATTTGTCTAGATCTAAGTCAGGGCATGTAGAGAATCTCCAGATATAACTGTGGATGCAAAAATGGTGACTTCACAATGCACAAACCTTTACATTATTATTATGCTTAGTTTTATAATTTTCAAAAGTTTAAAATCTTATATGAATGTGTCTATTTACTTTCTGTTAAAGATTAACATGTACTTTATCATTTACAATCCATGCTAGTTTTTAATCAAGAATTTAATGATAATGTACAATTCAATTGTAATTTGATCTAAGTTTGTACAATGTAAGAAAGAATTTAATTTAAATAAAACTTTCTGTAGCACAGTGATCAGACAATAAAATGTATAGGGATTACTTAGTGAAAGTCCAACTAAAGTCATTCAAATAAACAAAGACTATTTCATCATGTTCATTGTCAGCATTGCAATACAGAAAGGTCATGGAAATTGAAAATGACTTATTTATTCTATATAAGACTTATTTCATTTAGCTCAGAGGTGATGACATAAATACAATTCCAAATGATATCTATTAGTTTAATATCCTTTAAATAGAGAAAAAAAGACACATTCTCAGCTCATGACCATGAATCCCTCCAATTTAATATTCAAATAAAGGAAGTTATGATTGAGCATGCTCAGTAAAAAGCCGTGAGATATAAATAAATAGTTTGAAGCAAAACCCGCTTGCATAAAAAACCGTCTCCCTGGGACACTGATTCCGTGCCTCCACACGGGTTTCTGTGAGCGAGGATTCCTCACTTTCAGACTCAGAATCCTTGTCCAGAACCCGTGCGGCTTTTTAAAAACCCGTGCAGGTTCCGTGTCTTAGCCGTGCCTATTCCGCCTCAACATTTCGTACGGGACTCTTGCTAAACGTAAAACCTAGGACTTCAGGTTTTGATTTATCATGCATACATCATAATTCCTTGGATCTCCTTTAATCTTCAATAAGTTAATTTTAAAAAAGTACCAACCAAATTATATTTGTAGATAAATCAAAGAATGTAGGTTTCTCCGCCTCAGTGACGTCCGGCAGCTCATCATGGAAAAGTGGAACTCTGGTATTTCCTTCTGTCATCACCAACGAAGGCAATGGATATAATCCAAGTAACGGAATATTTACAGCTCCTACAGGCGGGATGTACGTTTTCTTCGTGAATGTTCAGAGTTCCGTTACTAAAGATATTTATGTAGACATTGTGTTGAATGGATCAACTAAAGTCAGAACAATGGCTTGGAGTAACGGTAATGATTATTTCGATGCAGGTCCCAATCTTGTTGTGCTGACTTTGCAGAAGGGAGACGCAGTGTGGGTCAAACATAGAGCCGGTAAAGGCTATTACAACGAAGGTCCTATAACTACTTTCTCAGGTTTTCTTATATACATGTAATTAAATCTGTAAAAAGGTATTATGCATACCATGGATATTGTATATGCACGTTTTGGTTACAAATGAATAATCTATGTCGAAGTTTAAAAATAGACTACAATTTAGTATAGACTTAATATTGATAATCTACACGATCTGTTTGACAATTAATTTTATATTTATCTGTTTAATCTAGAAAGTAAAATATCTACAGCATAAATGTATGGGGGAAAAGTGAGAAAAAGGTTTAACTCATTTTTAGGATACATGTATCTGTAGTAGAGTCGGGTAAAGCTGATCAGTTCAGGGGTCATGTTTTAAAAGGCTAAAAAAATATAAACAGAATTTTTAATTTTTACCCATTGATTTGACTCAAATTAGTATTTTTATCGCTTTTTTGACAAGCATAAACATCTTAAACACATTTTTATTGCAAATCCTGGCACCAATTGCTTTTGTGGAATACACTTTAACACTCATATTTTGGTGTGAGGGACTTTAAACAACAAGCAAACATATTTTGGTGATTATTTCTATTGGAATACTCAGCGACATTGTATCCTATGTATCTTTGTCAGAAATGTCTTTCTTTTTTGTATCATTTCTAAAAAAAGTATATAATTATTAAACCTATATCATTTTCTCTTGTCTTAACCTGAAGTTATGTGCATTGTAAATCCTAAACTGTAAAACTATGACTTTTGTATGTTTTAAGTCGACAAATGGCTATTGAAAGCTAAAATTATTTGTATATATGTACTTGCTTGCAATAAAGATTGTTTGATTTTTCTATTTATTGAATCAGATAACTGAGAATCAAAAGTTTGACACGATACCAAATAGGAACATTTTTTATCGCATTCTTACCAGGTATGCATGGGATCATTGTAAGTGGTGAAATCAAAGATTACGCTGAATAAAGTGTTTTACTCGACTGTTAGAATAATAGATCGATTACCTGAATCAAAGTTCTGATACACTATTTAATTAAAAGAACCATTTATAAGTCGGGGGTGTAGGGAAGGGCTAAGATAGGATATGGAATTTAGAACATCTTTAGGAAATCTTTGTTAAAGTCAACAGCACCATTTTAGATATTGTGATATTTAAGCATCCTCAAGTTGTGAACGTTTAAGTTTTTCAATGGTTTAGTAGTGGAACCAATTTGGGGATCAAAATTTACATCGGAATACGTAGAAAAAATTGTTTGAAAACGCGCTATATTGTAGGTTATTTCATATACTAAGCACTGGGAAACGGCGCTTTACCTCTCTGTATTGAAAATCATCTAAAATATTATAGTATAACAAATGACGTAAACCACGTCAGTCAAAATTTTCCCACAGCTAAAATGATTATGATATTATTATCATATAAAATCATTCATCACTTCTAAGCACCGGGATGTCCAAGATGTTAAAACTCCTTAATCAATAAACGTTTAAGATATTTTCGATAACGAGAAATCTTCGGTAATTATGTCATCAACTAAGTTAATGAAGCTTTTAAGTTGATTTTATTATGGAATCAAAAAAGCTAAACTGTAAACTCTTCCAGTAATTGAAATATCTTGAAGCGGTTTTTCTATTTCAAAGGAGTATATGTACCTGTCTTGGCGTAAGACGTGCAAATGGGTCTATCATTTTTTAATACGTACTTGTTTTGTATTAATTTACAATATATCGTACTTTTCTCAGACCAGTTCTTATATGAAAACGAGTCTTTTTTTTTTTTTTTTTTTTTTTTTTTTTTTTTTTTTTTATCAGTTTCTGAACAGAAAATTACTATTTGTTTGAAAAGCGGTTCTTTCAATATCATCAAAAATAGCTTCTTTTTTTTTTTTAAAAAGGAAACATTCAAACTTAAAGTCTTTTTTGAAATCAATAATTTATATTTATTCTTTTTGTATTTTTCTGATCTATAGAAAGTGCAAAAAATGTTTTTGCTTTAAATAAAAGATTTAAATTCGAATTATATAAATACATGTATCTCATAAACCATATCAAGAAAAAGACATTTTACTTATAAAAATTATTTATGAAAATCGTGATTTGTTAATATTTTAAATATATGGATAAAATGTTCAAGAAACGTTCTGAATATATGATAGAAATATTATATGATCATATTCTGAAGAGATATTGAAACGGAATTGCTAAATTTAAGAAAAAATGGTATTGTTGAAATTTAAACCTTTCCCAATATAAATAAATCTGATCCCGACTGGACATTTATCAAATGGAAATATTTAAGAGCTTCATAAAAATACTAGATTGCTTGCCTGTAATATAGTTTACAAAGAAATTGATTCAGAACTAATTAAGCTTTTGCAAACCTTTATTGAGAATTGTGCTATGGAAATATATGCGAATTTCTGCATGGACTGTGTAAATTATCATATCGATGTCATTGTAACATGTACGAAGTGTAATACTAGTATTGATACTTTCAATTATTAAAATAAGTATTAATAATTATCAGTGTGAATGCCGGTAAGTCTTATTTATACCCATAGCTCCCTTTCTAAGGAGGAAATTCTTCAAAATCATATGTCAGTTTTGAATATTTTTAATATTTCCAACAACCAAAATGAATTTGAATTACCATATCAATATAGTATTTCGAAACTTCATAAAAATCCTTACAAACAAAGATACATAGCGGGTTCCAGTAAATATTCTACCAAGCCTCTTTCATTACTCCTCACTGAGATATTAACAGTAGTGAAGGAGAAACTTCGAGAGTACTGTGCAACAATATATTCAGGAAGTGGTGTAAATCAGATGTGGATACTAAAAAATTCAAAGAAACTTTAGGAGCATTTGAAATCACAAAATTTTACCAAAATCAACAACATAAAAACTTTTCAACTTTATATACAATTATTACCCACGATAAATTAAAGTCCAGACTTTCTGACATCATTGACAGCTGCTTTTTCAATAAAAATGAGAACTCGTAAATTTACTTACCTTGTCATTGGTCATTTGCAAAATTACTTTGTTAAAAAACAGTCTGATTGTACTCTGAAGTACTCTGAAGTTGACATTAAAAGATGCTTGAGTTTCTGATTGACAATATCTATGTGTTTTTTGGAGACCAGGTCTGGAAGTTATAAAATATTTTGAGTACATAATCCGTGCTCAAACTCATAATCCGTTCTCCAATACCATAAACATACTCAAAATTTATATACAACTTTGAGTGGAATTTTGGAGCATGAGTATGGTTTTGGAGTACGAATTATGAATTTGGAGTACGTACTCAAAAAGTTTTATAACCTCCAGGCCAGGTCTTCCAACAATGTATTGGAATTCTCATGGGTACCAATTGCACCCCGTTATTAGCAGATCTATTTTTGTATTCATATGAAGCAGAATTTGTTCAAAATCGTTTACGTGAAAAGAAGAAAACACTTGCTGTGGCCTTCAACTCGACATTTAGATATATCGACGACGTATTGTCAATTAACAATGGTTATTTCCATTCTTATGTCGACACGATATATCCCAGTGAGCTTGAGATAAAAAAAATACCACAGAGTCTGACACATCTGTTTCATATTCGGATATTTTATTAGAAAAAGACGTTAATGGGAATTTAACAACAAAGCTTTATGATAAACTTGATGAGTTTAACTTTTCAATCGTCAGCTTCCCTTACCTATGCAGCAATATACCCTTATTACCTGCATAGGGGGTTTATATCTCTCTATATATGCAAGAGCATGCTCTACGTATAAACAATTTCTAAAACGAGGTAAGTTATTGACAAACATGTTGATGAAACAAGAATATCAGCAGTCTCGTTTAAAGTCATCATTTCGTAAGTTCTATGGTGGGTACAATGACCTTGTCAGAAAATACAATCTTTCATTAAGTCAAATGCTGACTTTTTTCATACAAATTATAAGGTCATTATTATATACTGAATTGTCGACGGATTTTTCTGTTATTTCCCGATCATGACAAGGAGCACACGGCGGATGTGAACCGTTGGCAGGGATTGCTCACTCCTCCATGGCACCTGATTCCACCTCTGATGTCTTAGAGGTCCGTGTTTGCTCTGCTCCTATTTTGTAATGTTTATTGGACATTTGAACTCAAAACTGTTCGTTATTTCCACATATTTCATTCAGTTAGAATTGATAATTCTGTTAAATTATAAATTCAATACAACTGATTAATTTTCAAAAATATGTTTTATCCATATATTAACAATATATGATTTCATAAATGTCCCCCCCCCCCCCCCCGCTACTACTTTAAGTATACTTATTTTAATTTAAAGCAATAAGTGAAAAGGCAATGATTAATATTCAAAGGAAAGTTACTTAGAATTCTCCATGTTTAATTTATTTCAATTTTTCACAAGTACTTATGCCATGTACATCGTTTGAGTTTAGAACCATCGCAGTAGCTAAGTCGATAGAGCACTCGCTCTGTGATCGGATGGTCATGTGTTCGAATCACGGCCGCGACTTACCTAAGTCGATAGGAAAAAGGTAGCAACTGTTCCTTCGCCAAGCGGTCGGCTCTTTGAAGTGAAACTGTCAAAGTTTGCTGAATATTTCATACTTTTTTCTTGTACCATCAAAATTTGCTGAATATGTCAGACACTTATTTTTGGTTACTCAATCCCACCCCTCCCACATACACACAAACTCTTTGAGAAACGATGCTAGGTCCCTGAAAAATATTTTAAATTTTTAATGGATAATGTTTGAACAAAAAACTCCTCAAAATATACACTTAATATATTTTCGACAATGAGATAGCTTCGGTAATTATGCCATCAACAAAGTTAATGGCTTTAGTCCTTTAATTAAATGTGATTATGAAACATTTTGAAAATTGTCCCAGTAATTAAAATTTCTTGTCTTTAATGCTATTTTTCTATTTCAAAGGAGTGTAAGGTGTGCATTTGGGTCTATTATTTTTTTTAATACGTAGATTAATTTACAACCAAATTTGTATTTCGTTTGAAAATGATTCTTTTTTGATCAACTTCTAATAATTTGGATCAACGTCTAAACAGAAAAACAATACATAATTCATTTGAAAAGTGGTTCTTTCAAAATCTTCAAAAGAAGTGTTTTTCCAAAAAAAAAGGGGGGGGGGTTAAAATGCAAAAAAATCGTAGGGATTTTACTTAGTCTATTTTGAAATATAAATTTATCATCAAAAGTTCTTCATTATTAAGCATTTATTTATTTTTTCTTTTGTATTTTTTTCTGTTCTAAAGAAAAGTATTTAAATTTTTTTGTTGTAAATAGGAAACATGTCAATTAATGCATTGTATATTAACATGTCAAGAAAAAAAACATTTTACTTTTTTTTAAATAAAAAAATTACTAGTATTTAAGAATATGAAATCCGTGATTTGTTAATGTTTTTAATTCTATGAATAAAATCTTCAAGAAACATTCTGAATATATAAAAGAAATATTATATGATCATATTCTAAAGAGAAATTGAAACAGAATTGCTTTTAAGAACAAAATGGCAATGAGATCTAAATAAATCTGATCCCGACTGGAAATTTATCAAATGGAAATGATTAAGAATTTCATAAAAATACTTTACATAAATTTCTTGGCTGTAATATGATTTAGAAAGAGAACTAAGTAAGCTTTGGTCAAACTTTATTGAGAATATTTGTGCTAATGGAAATATGCATATTTCTGCATGGACGGTGTAAATCACCATGTCGATGTCAATGTAACATGGACGAAGTGTAATATTAAAATAGATATATCAGCTTGAATGCCAATAAGTTTTAAATCAATTAAATTTAATAATTCTGCTATGAAATTATAAATTCAATACGACTGATTAATATCAAAAATATCTTTCATCCATACATTAATAATATATGATTTCATAATTGTTAATTTTCCTTCCCTTTGCTACTACTTTATGTGTATTTATTTTAATGTAAAATAATAAGTGAACTGTCAATATGATTTAAAGAAAAAATACTAAAAATTCTCAATGCTTAATTCATAACTTTTCACAAGTACGTATGCTTTGTACATCGTTTCGGTTTAAATGTATATCGAAATACCACAATCGTGTATACACGTATATGTTCTTCCATGTGAATTTTTACCAATATACATTTTTTAAAATTGTATATGCATGTATATCTCAGCATACAAAAATAACAATTAACTTAAATGCATTGACTTAGAAAATACAAACGGTGTTACTTAATACATCTGTTTAAGATATGGTGAAAAGAGAACACAGGCATGCGCGCTCTTGCTTTCTGTGCTTTACTATTGTGATTTTGGATTTTAGTGTAATATCAATAATTTGATTCGCCACATGTAATCGTAGTCTCTAAACAATATATATACGATCCACGGAGGGACTGTTTACCTAGCGGAGGGATCTTAATCTTCTGTACATAAGACCCAGTCTGTTTGTTATCTTCACCCTTTATATTAAAGATACTCTAGTTATTTTAACATCGGTCAGGTAATTTAAGATTATTTACTGGTATCGAATTCTAATCAGGGTTATCATATAAAACATATATTCTGTGACGAATGTTTGATTTCAACATCAAACCAGAAATTCATATGATTTTCACATTTTTCACATGTAAACTCTTAAGTAGTCCTACACTGTCTGATTGTCTTCTAGATATCTTCCACTTTATAACCAACTTTTGAATTCTTTTTAAAGCTCAATGCAGACAGGATGGTGCAAGCAGGGGGAAGGGGTTGAAGTCGTTTATGAAATTATAAATGAAGTATTTGTAAAGATCAAATAACGAACAAAAGGCAAAATTACCAGAATGTTATGAATCCTGAAATAAATGTTGTCGATTGTGGGTACTTCACTACCTTTTAGGAAGAATACATGTGGATTCACATAGAAAGAATGAGAAGAGACTACGAAATAACATTTATCAAAATCATCACGGTCTATGTAAAAATGTATTATGAGAATATTTTAAGGTATCATTATTCTCTCTTAATTAATCACTTACGAACCAAGTGCAGATGTATGGAATGACTCTATCAAATGGAAATATTTGTGAATCTAAAAAGCAGTCATATGTTGTGGTTTTAACTTCCTTTTCTATTCTATAAAATGAAAGGAAACCCCCGCACCTCCCCCCCCCCCCAAAAAAAAAGAAAAAAATCAACATTATCTGTGGGCAAGAAAATGTCGTTGTCAATGCTTTTTCTATTGGCATTAACGCACATTTCAAATATCCTTTAATTGGATTTGACTTCTTTTTTTAATTTATAATTAAAAACTAGATGAACAAAAACATTAAAAAGGAAGTTAACTAGTGTTAGTAACAGTGACGATAGTGTCGAAAACAAATTTAATATTTGTCAACTCATGATTTTAACGAACGTGCATCCTGCGCATGTGTCTTGCAATAGAAAAGGTAAAAGTTTATATGCAAATGTATATAAGCCTCAACATTCTCTTATATCATTATTCCTTCTTTTATTTTCGAGATGAAGCAAGCACTGGTGTTTACATTAATCTTTTGTTTTCTCATACAAACAAATGGATTGTCCATATTCACGGACAGCAGCGACAACAGTTCTACTCTACTGGACATAAGTGATACGGACTCCAAAACTGTGGACGTCTTCCGGCAATTACTGAACCAAGAAACAATCATTAGAATGTCACTAGTGAAAAACGTACACGCTTTAATGAAGGACATGCTCGATCTGAAGAAAAGTATGGAGACATTGGAAACATCTCAGCAGAAAACAGATGTAGAAGTTGCCGCCTTAAAACAGGAGGTTGATAAACTAAAAAGACAAAACCAAAGGTTTGAGCTTGAACACAGGCGCTATGAAGAAACGTTTAGAGCTGTTACAGAAAATTTTACGAAAATCGACGAGCACATTCAACAGGTTGTGGCGCAATTGGAGGAGGAAAGAGAGAATTTCGAGACAAACACTAGCGCAGTACTGGAGGATCTTAAAGTAGAAGTTCGGTATCTGTCAGTCACTCTTCTTGACTTAAATAAACACACGTTGGAAATTGACAAGAAATTTCCTGAAATGATAGAAGAAAAATATGAACAGATATCATTACGATTGAACACATCTGTGGAGAGCCTGAATAGTGATATAATGACAACAAATAAAACAATGTTAAAATCAATGTCTGACCTCGAACACTCGCAAATTATTATACAGAATTCTATATCTGGTAAGTTACATTATTTTCTTTGTGATTTGGATCGACAAAAGAGCATTTTATGTTTCATCACTTACATGTGAATCTTGACACATTAAGAATATGTTTTGGCAAAAATATGGGCGTTAAAGGAAGTATAACATTTCACCGTTGTCTTTTTGTTGCATGTTTTCATTTTCTGATGATAGTCAAGTCGCATTAATTAATTGTAAGATATAACTTATTGTAGCCACACAAAATATTTGTTGTAAAATGTAACGGAAATAATTGTTTTTCTTGTTAGTTAAATAGGATCATTTTGTCCTTTCTCTAGAAATTTCTAATGCTTTACAGGCTTTGTTTTTAAAGACAATGTTACATGTAAATAAAATATGGAGACATAATCCAAAAAATACAAAATATATGAACATTGTGTCAAAGAGGAACTATATTTTTTCTATGCATACGTTCCGTAATTGCTGTCAACACCCTTTGAATATCCGTTTGCGTTAGGACATCGGCTCATGTTTTTCGGTGTTTATAACTTGAACTTGATATTTTTGGGCTCATTTTTCACATAAAACGATTTTTAAAAATGATAAAAAATTATTTATGAATACGAAATTTATTTATTTATTTTTTTAAAATTCGAAATTGAATTCAAATTGAATTGAAATTTTTATAGTTAACTTAAAAGAGGATGCGTTGATACTGTTATATCCGAGAAAAAACAAATATACAAGTTTACATGTTTCACGATAATTATTTTAGTTGTTAACTTAAATCTCACCATATATTAAATAATGAATAAATTAGATACCTAATTCTTTAAACTGGATAACTATGATTCCCGTCAAAATAATACGTTAATGCGTATATTCTTTAATTAGGCGATAGGAAAAACATCGCGCGCCATTGTTTTTATTTTAATCAAAATCAATAGAATAAAGATTTGAGTATTTTGTGGTTTTTTGACATCTGCACCTGTTTAGCTTTTTTTTTTTTTATTTATTTATTTTTTTTATCAACTTTTAATTTCTTGACGTTCAATGGTCGTGAAGTAGTTGTAAATATTTTTCAGAGATGATCATGTATATCATGGACAAGATCACAAAAACTTATTAGTCAACTAATTTCATTTCAGTCGACATCAATAAAACTTTAGACGATCTGCTGACGGAAGTGAAACAATCTAAGTATGACCAACTGCAGCTGTCTTCTACAGTGTCGTCTCTCAAGGTGTTCCGAATGAATTTGACGAAAAACATGTGTGGTAATAATTAAAATAAAAGGATTTTATATTGAGATATATCGAAAATAATACATACCCTTTTCCATATCACATTTGTATCAACCCAATACTTCAATAAGGCCTTCAGACTTCTTGGTGTTTCGGGCTGACAAAGAGGATCTGGAAAATGTATGCATTAATATATTTATAACAAACTAAATAACATACAAAAACAAATCTATTTAAACACTTACAATTGATAATCGATAAATATTTTTAATATAACAAATAACAGAAATTTAAAATATAAGCAACCGTTTTGAAGGAAAATATGACGAAAATAAAGGGAAAAAAGAATGCTATTACAGGTTGATTAACAGGGTGTGTAATACCACACATCAATACAGCTCTGTATTAGCTGCAATAATGTAGCCCTCTCCGATTTTTGGGGGAAAGAGGGCTACAACTCCTTAGGATCTCAATAATGGTGCAAGTGAGGGAATGTTTCACTCCTGCACTGATTTTGACCCAAATCATCAGTAAATATCTATTTTAACATTACTTACTTGAACTCAAAAAATATACTTATGTAAGACATGGTTTCATCCAAAAGTGTACAGAAAAATCCATATATCGGTTATTTTTCGTGTATGTCAACATCACAACTTAAATTTATCCGCTATATTTACTGACCTTAATCGATTTTAATTTGGGAAAGCCAATGAGAACTCGGGTTCTAGGGAGCTGATTTATTTAGGAATTTCCTTATATTAATCATAAATTTCACTGTTTGTGAAAAATATTTCACGTGGAATGCTTTTATTCATCGATGTTTAGTGATACCATACAACACAAGTATTTATCAACACCGACATTTACTTATTCAAGATTTTCTAAATTTCCAGTGCAAGTCTCAATACATCACGCGAGAACTGGAAGACGATTTGTAACCACGCAGATTTATTTTACCTTGTTTTAGCGTATAAATGGCTAGTTTATTGGTACTGAATAAAGAATCATTCTTATTGGAAGGAAGTTAGATGCGAATGCAATTAATTTTGCGTGCAGTCGCCCGTATTAAAAAAAATATATTTGTACCATTACGGAAATCCTGTGGAATTGTAGCCCTCTCCTGAAAACATCGGATAAAAAGTATCGGAGAGACTACAATATCGCAGCTACAGCTGTATCAGGCCGGGAAATTTCTTTCAATTTGATTATAAAGATTAATTGCCAAATTCGATTGCCTTTGTATTGCTTTGGTTTAGTGTATGTGATCAAGAAAGTAACAAACGTGATGCCCGAGATGTATATGTGGTTTGTTGGTGAATATGCGTAACATATTTGACAAAAAATTTTCTTATCTTCATTGAAGGGTATCTTTTTCACTAAAAATCATCAAAAATATTTTTTGTACAATGACGCAATCCAGAAAAATGGAATATGATTCATAAAATGTCATCTTCCAAAATTAATGTACAGTGTATGCCTTATAGACCCAATAACATGTATATCAATTCTGTAACCCGTAAAAATTATAACTATTCGGCGCGTTTTTTTTTTTGTAAAACAAGCTTGCTGGATATGCAAAACTCTTTATTTAGTACTAAATATGTTATAAATGTTCATGATCAGTATTCAATAATTTTGATATATCGATGTTTGCTATTGATGATAGGTACATGTCTTAACCAGCCTGATGAGAAATAGACATTTTTATCTAGATTTTGGGCGTCTTGTCTGTTTAAGTCAAATATATGAAAAAAAACTGCATTTGGATGTAAAAGCTACATAACCTGTCAGTTTGTCAATCAATAAATAAATCAATTAATTGCCATAACGAGGAGAAAATATATTAGTTTGTTTGATTGCTTCAAAAAGTGTGCTATTGAATCTTTAATAGAAGAATTGAAAGAAGTATGTTGTTGGCCGCGATTGAAATTTGTGTCATGACTGTTGATTTAATCTTCATTAACATTTAAATGATAAAATTCACTGGGAAATAATTTAAAAAACAAGCTTATTTTAGTAATTTGTGTATAAGAAAACGCTATCATCTCATAAGCAACACGTTTATAACTTGACCGACTGAAAGGAGGCATGGGAAACATGCCTAAAATTCAGAAATCATGTAATTACATTTTTGCATCAGATATGAATGATCTATTGAACAGAAATCCTGTTTGCCATTGTCTTGATTAAGTCCATTTAATCATAGAAGATGACCAGAGTTGTGTTTTGTGAAAGGGAACATCAGATGTTTTCGTAGAAACGGAAGAGGAAACTTCCATTTTAAAGTGTTTTCTTAATTAAAAAAATCATCATAGTCCAGAAATTAATATTTTTGATTGATCGCCCATAATTTCAAATAATTGGAACACTCTAAATCTTGAGTTAAACATAACATTAAACTTCAATTGCATTTGTAGGTAAGTCAAAGAATGTAGCCTTTTCTGCCTCAGTGTCATCATACAGCAGTTCGTGGAACAGTGGAACACTGGTTTTTCCTTCTGTCATCACAAACGAAGGAAACGGATACAACCCAAGTAACGGAATATTTACAGCTCCTTTCGACGGGACATACGTCTTCTTCGTTAATGTACAGAGTTATAACAAAAATACGATTTATGTAGACATTGTATTGAATGGGTCAACAAAAGTCAGAACTATGGCCTTTAGTTCCAGTGGTAATGATTATTACGACGCAGGTCCCAATCTTGTGGTGCTGACTATCCAGAAGGGAGACGCAGTGTGGGTCAGACATTACTCTGGACAAGGTTACTACCACGATAGTCCCATTACTACTTTCTCCGGTTTTCTCATTTACATGTAATTGAGTCTCTAAAATGTCTGTGTGCTCACTATGAACGTTTAGTATTCATGTTCCTTAACAAGTTTTATTTGAAATAGACTACAATTAACTATCGACTTGATAAATATTGATAACTTACAGGATTCGTTTTTCAATTGATTTTATATTTAAAAAAGATCCTTTATAATCGTGAAAGTAAAACATCTACAGCATAAATGTTTGGGAAAAGTAAGTAAAACGTCCTTTTAATTTATCTTGAGAATTTCAGTAGGAGGAAGCTGATCAATGTTTTAAAATGTTACAAAAATATAAACAAATTGAATTTTAACCCACCTTTTTGAGACACATTAGTATTTTATCACTTTTAAGACTAGCATAAACAACGGTTATTTCAATTTCTGCCACCAATTTAGCTATTGTAGAATACACTTTTTACACTTATATTTTGGCGATTTGTTCTTTTCTATGTGTCTTGTTTGTATATTTTGTCAGAGACTTCGTATTCATCATAGTAAGAAATTTCTTTTTCTCACTGTGCTTTATTTGTAAATATAGCATATATTATTCCTTTTCATTTTAGTGTCTAAAGCTGAAGCAATATGCATTGTAAATCCTGAGCTATAAAACTATTTATAACTTTGAATGTTTTTAGTCGACAAATCGCTCTTGGGAGATAAAATTACTTTATACTTGCTTGCAATAAAGATTGTTTTATTCTTAAACTTATCAATTCAGACAACTGAGAATCAAATTATTACACAACACCAAAAAGGTACATTTATTTTATGGCATACTTATACATCAGAGCATTGTTAGAAGTGCCATCAGAGATTAAGCTTAAAAGTGGTTTATTCGACATATAATGATCATGGACTTTGAAATCTTGCAATTACAGTTCTGACACACTGTTTAATTAAAAGAACAACATTTGGGCGGGGTGGGCGGGAGTGTCTACAATGGGACATCAACATTTTACGTGGGAATATCAAA